GATAGTGTAGCGGAGGTTGGAAGACTTGGCTTCGTCACCCTGTAATCATGGGTCGTACCATCATGGCTTATGTTCCCTGTCTGTGGTGAGACCCGCCACCCTGCTGCCTCACTATACTACACTGCTGCCTCACTATACTACACTGCTGCCTCACTATACTACACTGCTGCCTCACTATACTACACTGCTGCCTCACTATACTACACTGCTGCCTCACTATACTACACTGCTGCCTCACTATACTACACTACACTGCTGCCTCACTATACTACACTGCTGCCTCACTACACTACACTGCTGCCTCACTATACTACACTACACTGCTGCCTCACTATACTACACTGCTGCCTCACTATACTACACTGCTGCCTCACTATACTACACTACACTGCTGCCTCACTATACTACACTACACTGCTGCCTCACTATACTACACTGCTGCCTCACTATACCACACTGCTGCCTCACTATACTACACCTAGGATAGGACGATGATAAGGAATAGCCCCCCCCCCCGTCCCCACCCCCAACCACTTATAGACGCTCGGGGATCGAACACCGACCCGCAAGAAGCGACATTCCACCGACCAATCTCAATAACCGACCCACACCACGACAACAATCCCCCAGCCTCCATAACCAGCAGCGGGGCTCGAACCAGTCGCCCTGACGAGCGCCGCGAGCAAATAACAGGGCATTTGACAGCTTAGTTTAAACTACAACATTAAAATTACCGGCTCTGTAAATGGGCCAAACTGGCAATCAGCGCCGCGATCAGACATTATATCCCCCGTGAGTGATTCTCTCCCTCGTAGCTAACGAAGGTTATCTTGAGGTTATCTTGAGATGATTTCGGGGCTCTAGTGTCCCCGCGGCCCGGTCCTCGACCAGGCCTCCACCCCCAGGAAGCAGCCCGTGACAGCGGACTAACTCCCAGGTACCTATTTTACTGCTAGGTAACAGGGGCATAGGGTGGTTATCTTGAGGTTATCTTGAGATGATTTCGGGGCTTTAGTGTCCCCGCGGCCCGGTCCTCGACCAGGCTTCCACCCCCCAGGAAGCAGCCCGTGACAGCGGACTAACTCCCAGGTACCTATTTTACTGCTAGGTAACAGGGGCATAGGGTGGTTATCTTGAGGTTATCTTGAGATGATTTCGGGGCTTTAGTGTCCCCGCGGCCCGGTCCTCGACCAGGCCTCCACCCCCAGGAAGCAGCCCGTGACAGCGGACTAACTCCCAGGTACCTATTTTACTGCTAGGTAACAGGGGCATAGGGTGGTTATCTTGAGGTTATCTTGAGATGATTTCGGGGCTTTAGTGTCCCCGCGGCCCGGTCCTCGACCAGGCCTCCACCCCCCAGGAAGCAGCCCGTGACAGCTGACTAACTCCCAGGTACCTATTTTACTGCTAGGTAACAGGGTCATTCAGGGTGAAAGAAACTCTGCCCATTTGTTTCTGCCTCGTGCGGGAATCGAACCCGCGCCACAGAATTACGAGTCCTGCGCGCTCTCCACCAGGCTACGAGGCCGTTAGTTATACCCCCGATTATTATATAGTTACAAAATATAGCGGTATATCACTCTGCCTGATGGGGGGTAGAGGGAACATATATCAGGGGCAATAATTTGAATATATATCTTGCTTGTATAATATATCCCGTGTCTATTTAAGTGGTAGATTGTAATGTCTATTGTTAGCTGTATAATAGACAGTTAACGGCTGGCCTGTTATTGTTCAATTGTTCACGTGCCTGTGGCTGATTTCCAGAGTTATTTTCTTGTAGTCGGGCTTAGGGTTGTTCACTTGTGGGGTCCACCGTGGCCATCACAGCCTGGTTGATCCACTAACTTCAGAAGATAATGCTGCTACACTAAGGGGGGGCAGGCTGCCTCACACTAGGGGGACAGTCTGCCTCACACTAGGGGAGCAGGCTGCCTCACACTGGGGGGGACAGTCTGCCTCACACTAGGGGGGGACAGTCTGCCTCACACTAGGGGGGACAGTCTGCCTCACACTAGGGACAGTCTGCCTCACACTAGGGGGGACAGTCTGCCTCACACTAGGGGGACAGTCTGCCTCACACTAGGGGGACAGTCTGCCTCACACTAGGGGGGGACAGGCTGCCTCACACTAGGGGGACAGTCTGCCTCACACTAGGGGGGGACAGGCTGCCTCACACTAGGGGGGGACAGGCTGCCTCACACTAGGGGGACAGTCTGCCTCACACTAGGGGGACAGTCTGCCTCACACTAGGGGGACAGTCTGCCTCACACTAGGGGGGACAGTCTGCCTCACACTAAGGACAGTCTGCCTCACACTAGGGGGGACAGTCTGCCTCACACTAGGGGGGACAGTCTGCCTCACACTAGGGGGGACAGGCTGCCTCACACTAGGGACAGTCTGCCTCACACTAGGGGGGACAGTCTGCCTCACTCTAGGGGGGACAGTCTGCCTCACACTAGGGGGGACAGTCTGCCTCACACTAGGGGGGACAGTCTGCCTCACACTAGGGGGGGACAGGCTGCCTCACACTAGGGGGACAGTCTGCCTCACACTAGGGGGGACAGTCTGCCTCACACTAGGGGGGACAGTCTGCCTCACACTAGGGGGACAGTCTGCCTCACATTAGGGGGGACAGTCTGCCTCACACTAGGGGGACAGTCTGCCTCACACTAAGGACAGTCTGCCTCACACTAGGGGGACAGTCTGCCTCACACTAGGGGGACAGTCTGCCTCACACTAGGGGGACAGTCTGCTTCACACTAGGGGGACAGTCTGCCTCACACTAGGGGGGACAGTCTGCCTCACACTAGGTGGGGGGGACAGGCTGCCTCACACTAGGGGGGACAGTCTGCCTCACACTAGGGGGGACAGTCTGCCTCACACTAGGGGGGACAGTCTGCCTCACACTAGGGGGAGAGTCTGCCTCACACTAGGGGGAGAGTCTGCCTCACACTAGGGGGGACAGTCTGCCTCACACTAGGGGGGACAGGCTGCCTCACACTAGGGGGGACAGGCTGCCTCACACTAGGTGGGGGGGGACAGGCTGCCTCACACTAGGGGGACAGGCTACCTTACACTATGGACAGTCTACCTTACACTAGGGACAGTCTGCCTCACACTAGGTGGGGGGGACAGGCTGCCTCACACTAGGTGGGGGGGACAGGCTGCCTCACACTAGGTGGGGGGGACAGGCTGCCTCACACTAGGTGGGGGGGACAGGCTGCCTCACACTAGGGGGGACAGTCTGTCTCACACTAGGTGGGGGGGGACAGGCTGCCTCACACTAGGTCGGGGGGACAGGCTGCCTCACACTAGGTGGGGGGGACAGGCTGCCTCACACTAGGGACAGTCTGCCTCACACTAGGTGGGGGGGGACAGTCTGCCTCACACTAGGGGGGACAGGCTGCCTCACACTAGGGGGGACAGGCTGCCTCACACTAGGGGGACAGTCTGCCTCACACTAGGGGGGACAGTCTGCCTCACACTAGGGGGGACAGTCTGCCTCACACTAGGGGGACAGTCTGCCTCACACTAGGGGGGACAGTCTGCCTCACACTAGGGGGACAGTCTGCCTCACACTAGGGGGGACAGTCTGCCTCACACTAAGGACAGTCTGCCTCACACTAGGGGGACAGTCTGCCTCACACTAGGGGGGCGGCCAATGAGGGCCAGGGGCTCCTCATCACCACTAACTCACAGCTGGCAGCCATAACAACCTCATCTTGTCCTCTTAATTGCCTCATTATCGTATTTTATTCTCATATATTTCCTCATATATATTTCACCACTCCCCAAACCCTAGACAGAAGAGACAGGGTCTTGTGTGCTCAGTAGACGGTACAGAGCTGAAGAAGACAGGAAAATACCGTCTATAGGGTATATATATATCAGCCTATATACCGTCAACCGCTCGTTATATAACCCAAATGGTTTCGTTATAACCTGCTACTAATGGCCACTGACGCAGCCCACTCAGCCACGTCAGTAATAGTGGGGTACAGTCGCTTTTTTCAAGTTTTTCTCTGAATGCTCTTTATTTTCTTCTCCGAGGCTATGGGTCCCTACACTCTCAACACCTGAGATAATACCGGGCCGCTCCTTGCTACTCAGTAGACGAGTTTAACACCCACACACACACACAGGTGTTTAAGTAACACCCACACACACACACAGGTGTTTAAGTAACACCCACACACACACACAGGTGTTTAAGTAACACCCACACACACACACAGGTGTTTAAGTAACACCAGCGCGTCCTTACCCGCGGCTGGAGTTCAATAAGTGTCAACACCCGCTCCAGACACCCGCTCCAGACACCCGCACTAGACACCCGCACTAGACACCCGCACAAACCTTCCTCGGTGTCAAGAGAAAAATATATGTAAAATATCTGCCGAGATAATAAGAATCACCTTCAGAGATGCTAATCAACTTTTGAACTGAGATAAGAATTAGATTCTAAGGCTTTTTGACAAATTTAAATTGAAACAAAGTTCACAGATGTTCACACAGGCAGCAGCTCAAGGTTCAACACAAGATGTTCATAATTGTTCACACACACACACATCACAACCACTGAACATATTACTGAACATTCTGGCTCAAAAGTTCATCATATTTCTCACTGTTCACAGGCAATGTTGTACCAAATGAGGCGGGCCCAAGGAGCCAGAGCTCAACCCACGCAAGCACAACTAGGTGAGTATATATAATCAAGTACATATATAAGTATATATAGATAGACGTAAGTAATAATGAAGAGGCTATATACCAACTATATATATATATATATATATATATATATATATATATATATATATATATATATATATATATATATATATATATATATATATATATATATATATATATATATATATAGGGCCACGGTCAATTCCCGGGTCTGAGTGTGCTAACATTAGAAGGTAGATAACCTCGTTATCTACCTTCTCCAGGTAGACAGTGAGCATCGAACTCGTTCCTGGAAACACAAATTAACTACAAGAGGTTCTCCCTCTCCGTAATGATATTAATACATAAACTCTCTTTCTCTCTCTGTGCCCTGAATTAGCTTCAGAGTTCAAATGAGAATCAGATTCAGACTTCAGATGAGAATTGAGTTCAGAGATCAAATAAAAATTAGATTCAGACTTCAGATGAGAATGAAGTTCAGAGATCAAATGAGAATCAGATTCAGACTTCAGATGAGAATTGAGTTCAGAGATCAAATGAGAATTAGATTCAGATTTCAGGTCAGAATTAAGTTCAGAGATGAAATGAGAATCAAATTCAGACTTCAGATGAGAATTGAGTTCAGAGATCAAATGAGAATCAGATTCAGACTTCAGATGAGAATTGAGTTCAGAGATCAAATAAAAATTAGATTCAGACTTCAGATGAGAATTGAGTTCAGAGATCAAATAAAAATTAGATTCAGACTTCAGATGAGAATGAAGTTTAGAGTTCAAATGATAATCAGATTCAGACTTCAGATGAGAATGAAGTTCAGAGATCAAATGAGAATCAGATTCAGACTTCAGATGAGAATTGAGTTCAGAGGTCCAATAAGAATCAGATTCAGACTTCAGGTCAGAATTAAGTTCAGAGATCAAATCAGAATCAGATTCAGACTTCAGATGAGAATTGAGTTCAGAGGTCCAATAAGAATCAGATTCAGACTTCAGATGAGAATTGAGTTCAGAGATCAAATGAGAATCAGATTCAGACTTCAGATGAGAATTGAGTTCAGAGATCAAATAAAAATTAGATTCAGACTTCAGATGAGAATTAAGTTCAGAGGTCCAATAAGAATCAGATTCAGACTTCAGATGAGAATTGAGTTCAGGAGATGAGAGTGCAATAAGTCCAGTGTGAAGGGAAGGTTTACACCAGCTCCAGAGGGTACAACATCATGTCCAGTTACTGCTCACTTTAAAGGAAATTTCGATTTAATGAGTTTCCAGGTTGAAAAGATTTTACCCCTAAAGTTACGTGGACCAGAGGTCACGCGGACCCCTGACCCAGGGACGTGAGGGAGGCCCTGAGGGTTAAGGGTGAGAGGGTGAGGGGACCAGTGAGGTAAAAGGGGGTGGGAGAGAAGATTGGGAGGGAGAGGGAGATGTAATGATGATGGAGCGACAGAAGAAAAGTGCCGAGAGTAAAATCTTATATAGTTATTAACGTCTGTTGTGTTCCGAGTGCGTGTTGAACAGTCTCGGGCCTCTGTTGTTGATAGTTCTCTCTTGAACACTGTGAGGGGTCGGCCAGTTATGTCCCTTATGTGTAGTGGAAGCGTGTTGAACAGTCTCGGGCCTCTGATGTTGATAGTTCTCTCTTGAACACTGTGAGGGGTCGGCCAGTTATGTCCCTTATGTGTAGTGGAAGCGTGTTGAACAGTCTCGGACCTCTGATGTTGATAGTTCTCTCTTGAACACTGTGAGGGGTCGGCCAGTTATGTCCCTTATGTGTAGTGGAAGCGTGTTGAACAGTCTCGGACCTCTGATGTTGATAGTTCTCTCTTGAACACTGTGAGGGGTCGGCCAGTTATGTCCCTTATGTGTAGTGGAAGCGTGTTGAACAGTCTCGGGCCTCTGATGTTGATAGTTCTCTCTTGAACACTGTGAGGGGTCGGCCAGTTATGTCCCTTATGTGTAGTGGAAGCGTGTTGAACAGTCTCGAGCCTCTGATGTTGATAGTTCTCTCTTGAACACTGTGAGGGGTCGGCCAGTTATGTCCCTTATGTGTAGTGGAAGCGTGTTGAACAGTCTCGGGCCTCTGATGTTGATAGTTCTCTCTTGAACACTGTGAGGGGTCGGCCAGTTATGTCCCTTATGTGTAGTGGAAGCGTGTTGAACAGTCTCGGGCCTCTGATGTTGATAGTTCTCTCTTGAACACTGTGAGGGGTCGGCCAGTTATGTCCCTTATGTGTAGTGGAAGCGTGTTGAACAGTCTCGGACCTCTGATGTTGATAGTTCTCTCTTGAACACTGTGAGGGGTCGGCCAGTTATGTCCCTTATGTGTAGTGGAAGCGTGTTGAACAGTCTCGGGCCTCTGATGTTGATAGTTCTCTCTTGAACACTGTGAGGGGTCGGCCAGTTATGTCCCTTATGTGTAGTGGAAGCGTGTTGAACAGTCTCGAGCCTCTGATGTTGATAGTTCTCTCTTGAACACTGTGAGGGGTCGGCCAGTTATGTCCCTTATGTGTAGTGGAAGCGTGTTGAACAGTCTCGGGCCTCTGATGTTGATAGTTCTCTCTTGAACACTGTGAGGGGTCGGCCAGTTATGTCCCTTATGTGTAGTGGAAGCGTGTTGAACAGTCTCGGGCCTCTGATGTTGATAGTTCTCTCTTGAACACTGTGAGGGGTCGGCCAGTTATGTCCCTTATGTGTAGTGGAAGCGTGTTGAACAGTCTCGGGCCTCTGATGTTGATAGTTCTCTCTTGAACACTGTGAGGGGTCGGCCAGTTATGTCCCTTATGTGTAGTGGAAGCGTGTTGAACAGTCTCGGACCTCTGATGTTGATAGTTCTCTCCTGAACAGTTTAGTTTAGGACACTGACAGACACCATACAAGGTGTGGCCAGCAGTTTAGGACACTGACAGACACCATACAAGGTGTGGTCAACAGTTTAGGACACTGACAGACACCATACAAGGTGCGGGCCAGCAGTTTAGGACACTGACAGACACCATACAAGGAGCAGGCCAGCAGTTTAGGACACTGACAGACACCATACAAGGAGGAGGCCAGCAGTTTAGGACACTGACAGCCACCATACAAGGAGCAGGCCAGCAGTTTAGGACACTGACAGACACCATACAAGGTGCGGGCCAGCAGTTTAGGACACTGACAGACACCATACAAGGAGCAGGCCAGCAGTTTAGGACACTGACAGACACCATACAAGGAGCAGGCCAGCAGTTTAGGACACTGACAGCCACCATACAAGGAGCAGGCCAGCAGTTTAGGACACTGACAGACACCATACAAGGTGCGGGCCAGCAGTTTAGGACACTGACAGACACCATACAAGGAGCGGGCCAGCAGTTTAGGACACTGACAGCCACCATACAAGGAGCAGGCCAGCAGTTTAGGACACTGACAGACACCATACAAGGAGCAGGCCAGCAGTTTAGGACACTGACAGCCACCATACAAGGAGCAGGCCAGCAGTTTAGGACACTGACAGCCACCATACAAGATGCAGGCCAGCAGTTTAGGACACTGACAGCCACCATACAAGGTGCAGGCCAGCAGTTTAGGACACTGACAGCCACCATACAAGGTGCAGGCCAGCAGTTTAGGACACTGACAGACGCCATACAAGGAGGAGGCCAGCAGTTTAGGACACTGACAGACGCCATACAAGGAGGAGGCCAGCAGTTTAGGACACTGACAGACACCATACAAGGAGCGGGCCAGCAGTTTAGGACACTGACAGACACCATACAAGGAGCGGGCCAGCAGTTTAGGACACTGACAGACACCATACAAGGTGTGGTCAACAGTTTAGGACACTGACAGACGCCATACAAGGAGGAGACCAGCAGTTTAGGACACTGACATCTGTCTGACAGTAAGGACCGGCCGTTGACAGCCACATACTCACGTCTTGTCAACATCAGCTATACTCAGCTGCTTTAATTGTGTAGGTAATTACAGCCACTTCACCTGTCATCTGTCGTCTCACAATTGTTCTCATTATAACTGGCTTATGGTGAGGGGTCACAGCCTCATTATCCTTGATGATGAGTCATGTGGTGGTGGTGGTTGGTGGTGGTGGTGGTGGTGGTGGTTGTTGGTGGTGCCTGGTTGATACCTGGTTGATATCTGGTTGATGGGGTTTCAGGTTGATGGTGGTTCAGGTAGACTAACTGCTGGTCCAGGTAGACTAACTGCTGGTCCAGGTAGACTAACTGCTGGTCCATGTAGACTAACTGCTGGTCCAGGTAGACTAACAGGTGGTCCAGGTAGACTAACTGATGGTCCAGGTAGACTAACTGCTGGTCCAGGTAGACTAACTGCTGGTCCTGGTAGACTAACTGCTGGTCCAGGTAGACTAACTGCTGGTCCAGGTAGACTAACTGCTGGTCCAGGTAGACTAACTGCTGGTCCAGGTAGACTAACTGGTGGTCCAGGTAGACCAACCTAAGTAAGGTACTAACTCTTAATACAACTTGGGCTGGACGGTAGAGCGACGGTCTCGCTTCATGCAGGTCGGCGTTCAATCCCCGACCATCCACAAGTCGTTGAACACCATTCCTTTCCCTCCGTCCCATCCCAAATCCTCATATCCTGACCCCTTCCCAGTGCTATATAGTCGTAATGGCTTCCCGCTTTCCCCTAATAATTGCCTGATTTTGATAATTACTGACTTAGATGCTAACTGCTTTACACCCAT